CGACAAACATACTTAATGTGATTGATATTTGTACTTTTTGAAACAAGTAGTATAGATTATGTGTCCCTATTTTATTGGCTAACACAATTCTTCATGATGAGACAAAATTTGAATACTAGTTTAGAATTGCAAGTAGGAGTATTCTCGTTCAAATAATTGAAAAATGGACATTGAGAAAATTTTGGACATTTTTGCAAATGACTATGTCAAAATGGATATTTTAGGTAATTTTCTCAACGGAAAATTCCAAACGACCTCGCTCGGCGTAGGTCCTCCATGAATAAAATAATTTCGACGTCCATTTGTGTGTAATGTGTCAATCCCGCGGTTATTCTCGCAAGTACTATAGCACGACTGAAGGGAAAATCAGTTTTTTGTACTGAAAGAATGAGGGTTCTTTCATCTTTTCTGTCTTTTGTCCTTGCTTGTACAAATAACGTTATTATTTATATTAACATCACAAATTTCATTTCCTACTTCATATCGTAATTATATTTAACACCCGTTTGATTTCCATTTTTGGCTATAAAAATGAAAAAATATGATCGTTATCCATTACATCAAACCACTATATTTGACTTTTTTTAATCTCTTGTATGGATCCGTAACAACTATATTTTTCATTTTTATTCTTACAAAAATGGGTACCAAATAGGGCCTTCAAATTTTTAATCTTTGCTTTTTATAATACTTATATTCTAACAATTTTTTATATTTAAAACATTTTGTATTTGACAATATTTTTATGTCCAAAGGTCTTTAAAATGGTGTAAATCAACATATTTTTTTCAAATGATATTTGTTACACCCCATATTAATTTGTTACTCCCCGTATGAACTTAAGCCATCACAAGTAACACGTGGAAGCTTCATTGACATCATCCGAATAGTCAGTCCAAACATATGAAAAAACGAAGTAACAAGGTTACGAAGACTACGGAAGTCCAAAACCTTGTTCTGACCAAGGTACCACTTTACCAGATACATGCCTAAGCCCTGAAGAAAGGATTATGCCGAAGTACTGATGTTCACGACTTGTCGAGGTCTCAAAGCGAGGCTGAAGTTCTGAGAGATGAGGAGGTTGTCACATCTGTTGACTTGACGAATATCTTTATGAAAAACTGATTAGCCAAGGGCACGTGATTCAGATCCAACAGTCACCACATCTTCCCCAAACTTTATATATACCCTCCTCTTTGAAAGAAAGAAAGGGAGGCGTATGGTACAAAAGAAGCAACACCTATATAAAAAAGAATAAGGAACGGATATATTAATTTTTGGCACATTTTTTAGGAGGGAATAAATACTACTCCATACATTTCAAGCCATTAAATCTCTTATTCGTTTTCTTTTCCTTTCTATTCACATGTGACTGGTCCAACTATGTCAAGGTGAAATTATATTCGCACATCTTCAAGTTTTCTGATCACTTTAACAGGCGTCCGAATTATTTAATCGCACATCGATGGTGTATCCTCCGCATTCAATTTCACCGCCTAATCAAACAAGCAATCTTAACACATCGAAATTTGCTCACGTGGATGCGTGTAGACCTGGCATCTGTTGGTGCCATTTTTGAATGTCAACAATATTTTTTAAAAATAAATAGATAAACCCAAAAATCATTTTTCTCTCATTTTAAATCATGAAATAAAATATTTTAACATAAATCATCATCAAGAATGAGTCATACTAATTAATTAAAGGTTGAAGATCATAATTCGAATTAAAGAAGTTAAGGAAATAATTGAAACAATTAGTAAAGATTGAGGAGCAAAACCGTAGTTAAAATGTAATATATAAAATAAAAATTGTTCTAACAATATAAATACCATTTATGTAGTGTAAAAGGAAGCCCCTGTTTTGGCCCTTTTTTTTTTTTTTTTAATTACATTTTTTTAAAACTCATTTTCAATTTCACATTCTTTCGTAAAATAATGTTACATATGAATTTAAAATTTTTCCTTATTGTTAATCATATATTCTGTAAAAAGAAATCATTATTTCAAAATATATTTTTTCAAAAAACACATTATAGTAAAGCCTAAATAAGGGGCAAAATCGATGCAAAATGTCGCATCATTTTTTTCATAAATCATCTCAATCTTTTCGATTTGACGCATTTCATCCTTAGTTTAAATCCTTGTTTGAGCCCCATTTCAGGGAAAAGAATGAATTTTTGAATAGTGTATTGATAGAAAATGTGTTTAAAAAAATAAAGAAAAGTTTTGAATTTGCGGTAATATTATTTTATTGAAGGATGTGTGGTTGAAATGATATTAAAAGACTGTTGAAAAATTCATTTTTTTCCAAAGAATGAGGTTCAAACAAGGGCCAAAAGAATATTGCAAAAATTGTCTTTGTTGTCCATTTCCTCCTTTGAAATTTTGTAAAATCACAAATTTGGCACTCTTTAAATAAGCAAAAAAATAAAATAAAATTAAGGGCTCGTTTGATTCTTATTATTTGGCCACAAAAATGAGAAATATGACTATTATCCATCACATCAATCCACCATATTTAACTTTATATATTTTATGTGGATTTAATAACGACTATATATTTTCCTTCTCATTTTTAGAAAAATGAGAAACAAATGAGGGCTAAACAAGTGATTGAAGTCATTATTCAAATTTTTCAAAAAGTACTCACTAGTTCCAACAAAAAAGGGATAATTGTAGTATGGTCCCGAACTTTTAAGATTATTGCAATTTTAGTCTAACCTCTCATTTGTAGGAGCACTGATCCCTAACTTTTCAATCCCTGATAATATCACAAATTTGTTAAGTAATTCTTCATTTATACTTGCATTTGCATGGTTTATTGATGCCTAAATGCACTAAATACCCTTAAATTTTGATTTAGGTTGCAAATGAATGAATATGGTGAAAATTAGGAGAAAAGAACGAAAAATGACCAAAATAGAGGAAAGTGAAAGTTCAGGGACTAAAGTGCAAGTACTTCAAACTTGTGCTTAACCTTATGATGAAAATTTGAAAGTGTTAGAGGTCAAGCGAATGAGAAAAGAGTCAAAGGGACGAAATATCTTCAAAGTATGATCACACATCAATTCTCAGTCGAAAAAGTTACGCATCGATTTTTAGCCTCACATTGGGACCCATTTTTTACATGTCAAACAATCGAATTGGAAGATAACATCTGAATAAAAGTTGTAGCACTTTGAGATAGCTTTTCGATACAACTTGAATCACCTCAATTGGACATTGAGAGAAGAAGATATGTTCAAAATATTGAAAGTTGTCCGGTGGAGAAATATTTATACTATGTGTACGCATAGGTTTGAGGACAATTACTTTCAGCATTCTTTAATTAATTTTAACAACAATTTTGGTTCTTTTAGAATATAATTATACTTATTTCATATAATCATGTTTGATTTGATGTGCTCCAATTTTCTCAGCTCTCTATATTAGCCAAAATATTCAATGCATCTTGTAATAATAGCAAGCTTTGTAATCAATATTGGACCGTACTTACAAGTTTGTCGCATTAAGACTTTAGTTTCTTTTTTTCTCTTTAATTTAATATCTTTTAGCAATAAGATTAAGTGAAAACCGTCAAAACACTAAATCAAACCGAAATTGTAACATCGTGTATTTTTAAGCTAAAATATTTTAATGTTCATAAGTTGTAATCATATTTTTGGACACTATATTGTTTGCAATGAGAATTATATCTATATAATATAACATTCCATCTCTACAATGATGCTATCGATATGAAGAAGGTATAGAAAAAGTATCATATTAGTTGTGAAATTTTATTTCTCACTCATCACCAAGTTAGAATTTTTAAAGCACACCATTATATGTTCCCCTGAATATTTTGTTAGGGATAATTACACCGATATTATGCATATTATATTCACAAAAATATACTATTTATGATCACGAAATCAAAATGTAATTTCGACTCACTGAAATGGATTTGAAGAGCAAAACAATAATAGTTACCGAATTCGAATGCATGGATATGGATTCATCCTTTTCGATTTTTGAACGAAAGCAAATTATTCTTTTTATCAAACTTCGCAGAACAAACTTGTAAATAATGTTAATCAGTTTCTGAAATCAAACCATAATTAAGAGAAACTAGAAAATGAAGAAAGAAAATGCAAATGATGGATTTGGCCGAGGCAAGTGCTTGACATTGTTTCCTTAAGATGAATTTGCCCTGTATCGGTGCTAACGATTTTTGGAGGATCATCTCCCAAGATACAACGACCACATCGAGTCATAAGAACACTCCAAATGACTTCGACCAGCGAACTCGAACGAAATTCTCTCTTTACCATAAACATGACTTTGATGCAAGATATAATCACTTCTACAAAGTATTTTATGTAACTTGACATGAAATGAATAATATGAAACTATATAATGAATTGGAATAATGAAATACACGTCCAAGAAGTCCTATATATAGAAGATGAAGGGTTGTAGGTAAAGGGACACACCCTAAATTCAGCATTTTTTCAAGAAAAGTTGCAATACTTCATTTCTAATATGCATCATTTCTAAAAGTTGCAATACTTCATTCTTCCAAATTTGGACCAAGATTTCCCATTCATCCGGAATTGATTTTAAGATTTCAAATATACCACGACGATCTACTCGACGAGTAGAATAAATTGATCTATTTACTTTTGTAATTTGACCATCGAATCAAGTCTGAATATTCAATCAAAAATGACACGAAATCACACATTTTCATTTTGATTTTAATGTTTAACCAACTGTTCAATTACTTTTGAACCAATTCCAACAATTTTTAGTGCCATTCTACATTTTTTTTTGTTATAACATTCGGCTATCTAATAAAGGAAGTATCTTAAATTTATAAAACCTTTTATTGTTAAAAAAATAAACTTATAAACCTTTTACTTGGCAATACAAGGAATGGGAAAATTAAAACTTGAAAAAGTTATTGAGGGGCTAAACGAGGCACCTATGAGTACATAAATTTTGAGTTAGAAATGGTAGTACACTAAAATATTTATTGCTTCATCTGAATAAGTAAATATTTTTAATTGTAGACCAATTAATCATTTACCAATGTTAGTTGTATACATATAATAACACGACGTTTCTCTTAAATAAGTTCCATTCCAAGCTGACAATGAATCTCTCTGCTGCTCCTACAAACAACATTGGCTATGGAGATAACAAGATGATTCCACTCATAAAAATTTTAGAGCCACAGATGCAAAGAAGTGGTAGCTGCCATTCCTTTCCATTCAGTTGCGGATACAAGAAAGCGGTAGGTGATCGTTGACCAGTCGACTGTCGCATTAATGAGATCATTTATTAATATTTAAACAAATAATATTAAACAATTCAATTAATATATAAATGTACTAAAACGTAAATCAAATATTAACTATCATCAAGTTTCTTTTCCAAAATCACCAATTTTCACAAATACTAACAGATTCCATAGGTCCACAGATACTAAGAAAATCCTCAATTTTCACGAATTTCATAGTCCACGAATATGATATCGCATATTCTCAAATTCACGAAGCCCACAATTTTCATAAATACTATCAGCAGGCTCACAACTCACTAAGTCACAGACAAACTCACAGTAAATGCTCATAAAAACATAAATTCATAATTCATAAATCATAATTGACTATTTTAACTGATAACTCATAATTTTATAAATAATAAATCAATAAACCAAATAGACTAACAACAACAAAAAAAATAAAATAATAATAATAATAATTGAAGAGAGACAAGAGGTTCACCGCTCACGTCCCGCTATTACGAATGGAATCAGTTACCGGCGATGCAGTGGCCGATGGCTCAACTTCAACGACTCCACAGTGGCTTAGCATGTGTGCTAGCAACAGAGAATTGGGTTTGGAAATTGGAATTGGATGGAATTGTTTAATTATGGGTTTTAAGTGCCGAGGGCATCTCTGTGATTTGTGAATTGAATAAAACCAGCAAGTCAAGCGGGTTTTGCATCTTCAATCCATTGGATTGAGTAATTGGGTCTATTTTTATTTTTATTTTTATTTTTATTTTTAATAAGAGGCCCAAAAGAAAAAGGCGCACAACTTAAAAAAAAATAAAAATTGGCCCAAATGACTTTTACTCGTCTTCAAAATCATTTATTCTTCTGGGCGGCTGCACCTACATTTCAACCTTCAAGCTTTGTCCATACAAGGGTGGATCCACATGGGGTCACGTGGGGTCAAATGACCCCCCATTTTTTTGGATTTTTTTTTTTTTTTTTGCTGAAAACTTAATTTTCTGTCTCAAAATGTCCATATCCTAAATCTATATCAATATCACATGATCCATATCCATTATTTAGTCCATAGATATATCGTATAATCCATCAATTTCTTCCCAAAATGCAAACACCGAACATGAACAATAAATAATCGATTTTTCCTTTTTGTTCATGATACGTTGTTCGAAAAAAAAAAATTTGACCCCACAATTCGAACTGTTTGGATCCGTCCCTGTGTTCATAGCGAAGCGACGACTGTAGGTTCTTGCGAAGCACTGTTTCCACATCGATTCCTGAGTCTTAGGAGGGAATGCTGACATCAAATATGGAAAGAACAAAGCTTAACCCTTGCTATTGCTATAAAATAAATTTGGGTTAAGCTTTATTCTTGCCAGATCCAATGTCGGCATTACCTCCAAAGACTTCGGGAGAGGTGGTGTGGCAAACAACCGCCTCCATCAATTCTTTCTGGTCGTGGCACTTGAGTAGTTTTAGAAGGAACCATTTTCTTATCTCCATCATCAATGTTTTTCTTGTAGTAGAGAGGTTTTTGGAAGCACGAAACTCTGCGAAAGTCTCTTGTATTCTCATGGTTGTGGGAGGAAAAACAAAATTTATAGTGAATCGCGAAGGTTAAATATTTACAGAATGACTAGTAGTTGCCAGCTTGTAATGGGGTTTTATTTTAATGAAATGCCGTGTTATTGTAACATATTTAAAAAAAAAAAAAAAAAATTTATTTTTCCTTACCATGCTTATCCCTTGAATTAATTGTTTCATTAATTTGGGGTCCCACTTGTTATAATTATCCTACTAAATACATTTTGAGTGGACAATGAAAATAACTGATCCTAACGATAGTGTCAAAATAAACAAATCATATGTAATAGCATTCATCAAGGTCGTAATGGTCTAAAATCAAGTCATGTTAAATCACGGTCCAATTTAGGTTCATACCGTCTTTCAAATTTGTAAGTACTAACCAAAATGGTAGATCAGACAGTGACATTTTAACATGTCATTTTTTATTTTAACCCATTTAAAAAAAAATAAATTGATAGCTCTTTTAATTTTTACCTTTTAATTCTATTCTACCATCCCTACGCGACTATCCTACTGTAACATATTAACCTGTGAACTAGAGAATTTCAACTTTGATTCGATGTAATTTATTCAGACACAACGTTTTTTACTTTTTGAAGCACAAGTCAGGCGTTGACTTTGAATCATTTTGTGTATCATAAAATATTAAAATGTACCCCCATTATGGCATACTAGTTTTTCATGGTCAACAGATGTTAATCTCTCTGACAAGCAGAGTTGGATGGGATAGAAAAGTGGTTACAGGTTACATGACATTAATGATATATTTATCCTTCATCACCTCACAAATTTATGAATCTTATAATAATAATAATAAGAGAAATAGTCATGAATTTCATGAAAGGTAAAATATGAATACTTTTATGATATGTAGATAAAATTAATGTCTGACACTAATTGAATTCATAAACCATTTATAAATTGATTGCATATGTCTATTTATTTATAACCAAAATGTTGATTTTTTTAATTTTTTTTAATGAGATAAGAAAGTGGTTCCATGACATTAATGGTGGTTACATAACATTAATGATATATTTATCCTTCGTCGTCTCACAAATTTATGAATCACATATAAATAAATAAATAAAAGATAAATAGTCATGAATTTCATGAAAGGTAAAATATGAATACTTTTATGATACTAACATTAATTGAATTTATAAAGCATTTATAAATTGATTGCATATGCCTATTTATTTATAACCAAAATGTTGATTTTTATTATTTTATTATTTTTTGAATGAGATAGAAAAGTGGTTACATGACATTAATATTAATGGTGGATACATGACATTAATGATATATTTATCCTTCATCGTCTCACAAATTTATGAATCATATATAAATAAAAAATAATAATAAGAGAAATAGTCATGAATTTCATGAAAGGTAAAATATGAATACTTTTATGATATGTAGTTAAAATTAATGTTTGACATTAATTGAATTTATAAACCATTTATAAATTGATTGCATATGCCTATTTATTTATAAACAAAATGTTGATTTTTATTTATTATTATTATTTTTTTTGAATGATATAGAAAAGTGGTTCCATGACATTAATGGTGGTCACATAACATTAATGATATATGCATCCTTTGTCGTCTCACAAATTTATGAATCACATATAAATAAATAAATAAAAGAGAAATAGTCATGAATTTCATGAAAGGTAAAATATGAATACTTTTATGATATGTAGTTAAAATTAATGTCTGACATTAATTGAATTTATAAACCATTTATAAATTGATTGCATATGCCTATTTATTTATAACCAAAATGTTGATTTTTATTTTTATTTTTATTTTTTGAATGAGATAGAAAAGTGGTTACATGACACTAATATTAATGGTGGTTACATGACATTAATGGTATATTTATCCTTTATCATCTCACAAATTTATGAATCACATATAAATAAATAAATAAAAGAGAAATAGTCATGAATTTCATGAAAGGTAAAATATGAATACTTTTATGATATGTAGTTAAAGTTAATGTCTGACATTAATTGAATTTATAAATCATTTATAAATTGATTGCATATGCCTATATATTTATAAACAAAATGTTAATTTTTTTTTATTTTTTTTGAATGAGATAGAAAAGTGGTTCCATGACATTAATGATATATTTATCCTTTGTCGTCTTACAAATTTATGAATCACATATAAATAAAAAATAAATAAAATGAGAAATATTCATGAATTTCATGAAAGGTAAAATATGAATACTTCTATGATATGTAGTTAAAATTAATGTCTGACATTAATTGAATTTATAAACCATTTATAAATTGATTGCATATGCCTATTCATTTATAATTAAAATGTTAATGATATATTTATCCTTCGTCGTCTCACAAATTTATGAATCACATATAAATAAATAAATAAGAGAGAAATAGTCATGAATTTCATGAAAGGTAAAATATGAATACTTTTATTATATGTAGTTAAAATTAATGTCTGACATTAATTGAATTTATAAACCATTTATAAATTGATTGCATATGCCTATTTGTTTATAACCAAAATGTTGATTTTTATTATTTTTTGAATGAGATAGAAAAGTCGTTACATGACATTAATGATATATTTATCCTTCGTCGTCTCACAAATTTATGAATCATATATAAATAAAAATAATAATAAGAGAAATGGTCATGAATTTCATGAAAGGTAAAATATGAATACTTTTATGATATGCAGATAAAATTAATGTCTGACATTAATTGAATTTATAAACCATTTATAAATTGATTGCATATGCCTATTTATTTATAACCAAAATTTTGATTATTACTATTATTATTATTTTTTGGAATGAGATAGAAAAGTGATTACATGACATTAATGATATATTTATCTTACGTCTCACAAATTTATGAAACATATATAAATAAAAAAATAATAAGAGAAATAGTCATGAATTTCATGAAAGGTAAAGTCTGAATACTTTAATGATACGCAGTTAAAATTATTGTATGGCATTAATTGAATTTATAAACCATTAATAAATTGATTGCATATGCTTATTTATTTATAACCAAAATGTTGATTTCCCCCCCTCTAAGTAAGGCAAAAAACTCAAATAAATAGCTCACCTCAGTTGACCGAAGTATCATAATCTCACGCTAATTTATTAAGATTCATGAAATATCGACACCTTTTAATCTATCTGATAAAAGAATAAGATGAAGATCAGAACCAATGGAATCATTTCACATAATAATGTAAAATTATATTTTTTTCACAAATATTAATAGGTATCTGGATCCTATTATAAATTCAAATTCAATGAAAGATGAACTTGTATAAAACAGAATGGCCACGAACGTTTCCCGTTGTAATTACCATTATAGGACATGTGTGGCCCAACCCATAACGGCCATGAAAACTTAGTGCTTGTTTGTTACGGATTAAAAGTCAATTAAAATCAATTTTTTGACTGTTATTTCACTATTCTAGTCGTCATTTTTTAATTATTCTCTCACAGGTAAGACCCGTTTTATTTTCTAACGGTCAAAAAATCAATTATCAAAATCTCCACCAAACAAGCTCTTAATGTCATCTTTACCTCCCTCAAGTATACTACTAGCAGTCCTTCGAGAGTACGACACACACCTTTTTCTTTCGGAGCCGTTTTTATGCAATGCCTATTCATAGGTAAAGTATTATGTGAGGACTTCGAGATCCGTATGTTGACTTTGTGTAGCGAAATCAGAGAGTTCAAATGCAGGAAGAGATTTTGGTTGCCTCATGAGAATCAATGTGCAGGATAAGAACAGAATGGATAAATTTGTTGTCTGAATGACTCAGCCTTGTGAAGCCGGGAAAGAGGCTTATCAAGAATGAAGTTACACTTATCCACCACTAATTTTTATCTGTTCATAAATTAAAGCATTTATAAATTCTCCCCAAACGGAGGCTAAGAGTATTCTAAACTTCATTCATACATTAAATCATTTGGATCATCTCATGTTATGTAATTTTTGGTAATGGTTCAACATCAACCCATTTTATAAAGCAATCTAGTGTCACTATTGTGAACTTAGTGCTTCCTATTTCATGGGCAGGTGTCCGATCATGTCAATTACCCATTTGGCAACGGTCACGGACTCACCACTGACTTTAGTTCTTTAGGTAGAGATTGGATCAT